AATGATGTTTTTCTCAATAATTCAAGTTCATTGCGTAAAGCTGTATTACTATTTTCCAATAGTTTCATCTGAGTCCTCAATCGGGCCTGGCCGGTTGCCCATCTAGCTTCTTTTTTATTAAATTCATCTTTTAACTCAGTTAACTATGAATTAAGATACAATTTTGAAATCATTAGTATATATTTGAATGTAAATWATATTAAAACCTACCTGTTCTTTTAATTTTTTTATTTCTTCTCTCTCTTGTCTATTTGGTTTGTTTCTCAATTCTCTAGCATTTTTCTCAAACAAAACTTTTTCTCTTATGAATTTTTTTCTTTCTTCTGCCAGCATTTCTTCGTCTTTTTTTTTTTCATCATTTAATTTCTTTAAAAAATCTTCTTTACTCTTAAAGAATTTTTGTCTTTCAACCTCAAATTCTCGTTGTAACTTCATTAACTTAGTATTTTCTAATCGAAATGTTTCTATCTCAGATTCCAACTCTTCAAGTCTCTTACTTAGTATTTCTGTATCAAATGATTGATCAAAGTCAACATGTTTCATGATTCCTGATGTTTTAGAATAGTTTTCTAAATATTTCTTCTCATTTTCTGTTAAAATAACTGAATTAACTTCATTTTTATTATTGCTGTTTAAATTTGTATCTTTAGGTACATTYTCTGTTAAATCTAATGGATCACATTCCTGACTAGAGTCAGAATAAGAATCGTCAGAATCATTAACATTTTGTCTAGGAGTGGATGAGTTTATCCTATCAAAATTTAAAGAACGAACTAGTCGTGATGCTGGTACTTCTTTATTACTTTTAGAACTTTGTCCTCTTTCTAATAGTTGACATACGGTAGGTGATGATGCATTTAAATTGGAATTGTTTGCACGTTCTTCTAATATTTCAAATGCACGCAATTCCCTTTGTTCAGTATTATCAGGATTTTCCCCATCATTTGGTAAACCTTTTGGCTCATACCTATTCCAAGAATTAGCTATTTCAACTTTTTTCAAGTCTAGACGTGAACTTTCAGTTGGCTTACTAACTAAAAATAAATTAATAAAATAAAAATAAATCATATATTTCTGACACATAAAAATTATTTATTAAGTTAATTTACCCAATTCTGTTTTAGGGAATGGTTTAACTTGATTCAAACACTTTCTGGGTACTTTAATYTTGGATGGAACTGATATAATTGGTTTCTTAAATTTTAGTTTACCAGATTTTTTTTTTACCTCTTCTATATTTAAGCCATATCTAGCCAGACCTGTGCCTCTTTTTAAATATGGTTTTTTAGGTTTGACAGTTTTGCATTCAATTTCATTTTCTAATTGTTTATCTTCAGCAATATTGGCACATTCAACTGACTTTGATATGCAAATTTTATCAACATTTTTATTAGGTGATAATATTGCTACATCATCTTTTGAATTCGAAGCCTAAATTAAATTTAATTAAAATAATTATTTTAATTTAAAATGTCTAGCTTTAATAATATTCATAAAACCCCATTTTTATGTGTAAGTAGAAAAATCGGGTAAGTCGTGGATGTAGCTCTAAAGTACAGTAGTTTACTGCAATAGATGGAATTAAATTTGAAATCAATGAAAAACGATTCTGAGTGGAGACGGTTTATCTGTCTAGGATATATTATAGATAATTAAAAATTTCAAATTTTAGATTTAAAAAGAACATTTTTTATGAACTTCTAGCTTAAAATAATTTGCGAATTTTCGTGATTTTTACGTATATTGTCAACATTCAAACTTTGAATACTTGTAAAAAAAAATTGTGACCATAAATTTCATTTATTTTTCAACTGCTACATATTGTAAAAATATGTTAGGAGCCTTGTATTATAAAATTTTTAAGCTTTTCTACTCAACAAATATATTTTTATCTATATTAATTTAAAAAAAATGAATAATTATCAAAAATTACATATGCCTATAAATAGTTCAACTTAAGTTGACATTTTTTGAAAATTGGTTGGTGCATAAAATATACTTATAGAAACATTTGGTGAAAATTTCATGTATCTATGTTCATTTGTTTTAAAGTTACATTTACAYCAAAAACCAAAATTGATTTGGTTGAAAACTGATTGTGCGTAAAAATTCCCGATTTTTCCTTGATTTTAAGTTTATTTATCCTGATTATTTAGACAAATATTGAGAATTTTTTACTTTATACCCCCCCCCCTCCTAATCAGTAACTAATAGATTCACTTTTTGGTCTAACAAGGTACTGAAGTCGAAAATCAAAGCATTTTTAATGCCCCAAAACGTGATGACAGACAAAAAAAAATTTTTTTTAATTAAATTAAAAAAAAAAACACACACCATGATAAAATCAATACATCCAAAATAATAATAATGCATCTATATTTTTCTATAAAATTTAATGTGATAAGCAAACCTATTTTATTTTAATTTAGCACTTTGTATTTTCCAAATTATAAATTATATTTATTCAGTATATTATAATGATAATTCTTCCGAATAAATTCGAACCCTAATTAATACTAACCGGTGATGAAATTATATCTTTTTGGTAACCAAACTTTTTCAATAGTTCTTCATCTATTTCTGAATAAGAAGACACCATATCATCATACTGATTTTCTGTAATAAATTAAAATATTTAAAAAATGTACCTAGCAAATTGAGGTTTGCAACATTTAAGTTTGTATTTTTGAATTACTTATTTAGTTTATTACAACATAAAAATAATAGTAAGCTTATAAATTCAAATCCTTTAAAAATAACTCACATATATGTGTTTAAAATGCAAGTACAGTAGTATTACAGTAATCTGACAAATATCAGATCAAAGTACAGCATCAGTTTAACAAAAACACCAAATCGACCGAAATTTAATAAAAATTTAATTTTACTAGCAGAACATGAACATGAACAGAATATGTGTATTTTACAAAATATGAAATGCATAACTATTTTATATGCTAATGCATTATTTCACTGTATTTGTATTATTCCTTTAAGAAATAGGTCATAAAACATAATTTACATTTCATTCACCGAGACACCATTCTTATCACCCCAAATAATGGACTATATCTAGCAATAAGGAATATATAATATMTTAAGGTCACCACACACTGCAGTGGTAGCGGTAAAATTCTTTTGTCTTGGCGGTGCCGCCGCGGAGGCAGTAAAATTGAGTCCGGCTTCATTTTGCAGAAAC